GAGGCCTGCAAAATGCCATCTTCCAACAATATATATATATATACTGAATAAAATTTATTTTAACAAATGACAGAACTTGTTTTATCTAAAACATTCTAATTACATAACTTTTTTAATTTATTAGGCAAGAGCCAAAACCAGTTGAGTGCAATATGTGTCAGAGAAGATTTAAAAACATTCCAGCTCTTAATGGCCACATGAGATTACATGGTGGTTATTTTAAGAAAGTAAGAATATTATAAATTTGTCTATTAATTATTACATGTATTCTTTTTATAAATTAATCTTTTCTTTAATTAGGAAAATGATGTGAAGAAACCTGATCGTAAACAACTTGGTACTTCTCAAAACCCACCTTTACAGACTGCTAGCACCAATGTTCGTGCTCTAATAGAAGAAAAAATTATCCAAAAAAGAACATCTGCACAAGCCAGTTCACAAATTTTGTTAGATACAATGCCACTTGATGGAAATTTCTTTCAAACATCATCAAATGAACAGAACATGACAGGAACATCGTCTATTGCCAATGCACAGTTTGTTTCTAATAACATACAATCTCCTGCACTCAGTCCAGTTTCTCAGGATAACTCACTCTTCTCCAATTTTCCTGTAACTAGTCAAAATAATACACTGTATGATATTTCTAAAAATAATGATCAAGAACCCGTGTCTTCCTTTGATTGGCAAAAACAAATCCACGAATTGAAAGAAGACTTCAGAGTTCCTCACCCTCCTGCTGAAAAATTAAGACGCCATTCTGATTCTGATCATTTTATTCCATCAAAACGTCCGTGTCCAAATTATACTAGGAGTGCTCTAGCTGATCTATTGAGAAAGAAAGTTGTGGCTAAACGCACGTCTCGTACTGGTTCTGATCCTGGTGAACCTCTCTTGCATGCCGAAAGTCCTCAAACTAATTCAAGTCCTTCAACTCCCAGTACTCCTGTACCTAATCCTCCATCAGATCTTACACCTCATATTCAATTTTCTAATGAAAATCCACTCTCTCTTGTTTCAAATCAAAATTTATCAGCATTACAGTTGGAAGAATCTGATCTTCCAATGTCAATTGAAGAGGAAATGATAAAATCAAGTAATTCAGATGTATGTTTATCATCATCAGTGCTTTCGTCAGTGAATCATCTGCCAACAAACCTTTCTATTTTGGATAATGACTCTAAAAAGCATATAGATAATTCTCAGTGGTCATGTAATCTTCCATTACATTTCTTTGGAAGTGAAATTCAACCTACAATTTCAGCAGCAACTATTACATCTGTTCCTTCAACTGTGATTGGAAGCACAAGTAACTGTGTGCGAAATCGTTCTGGTGAAGATAGTAATGATGACGACGTGTTTTTAAGCCCCGTTAGTCTCCCTACTAGTCCGCTTAAAATAAAGAGAAAACATCGTCCAGAAGTAATTATATATTTTACATTTTANATAGGAAACACTGCAATTATTGTTACCAATTTTATACAATTTTATAATTTTATTTAATACTATTATTTAAACGTTCACTACGTTTAAATAATAGCATTAAAAACTTAATTTTAAATATGTATTTAAACGTAAATCTTTGCAATAAAAAAATTCATTTCACATTTTTAAACGTTTTAGTATTAAAAAAATAATTTTAAAAAAATTAAACCAAAAGTTTAGATTAAAACAAGCAATTTAAATAGCGTTTTAACATCAAGAATTTATATTTATTAAATGTTTAACTACTTCAAAATCCCAATATGCATTTTTCCAAACTTGGGCCATTGTAAATGCTGAAATCTCTACAGGGATTTGTAGTAGTAAATAAAGATTTTTATGATATAGAATTAGTCCATATATAATGGTTACAATAACCAATTTAATAATTATGTAAACAGTTACATTTTTGTCAAATGCATTTGAAAAAGAATCATGTCACTTCTCCAAAATTCTAAGAATTTATTTACGTTGTGCAAATTTTAAAATTTAAATATAATTCCAATAAATGATAAATAGACCTTAAAATAGCTCAAGAATATACAATACAAATAGAATTCAAACAAATTATAAGAGTTTAATCTGTTCTCATACTGTGCTACAAGTATGCTATAGTTATACAGTCAAATTCCATTATTATATTACTGATTTATGATCATATTAATGTGAGGTATAATTGTGGTCCCTTGGACCAGGGAGGATAGATATTTGAATGTTAATGAGTTTGGTTAATACAAATTTCATTAATACAAAGCATCAATTTTTAAGTTTCTTTGACTTTGTATTAACAGGATTTGACTGTGTGTGTGCATGGGTGCATGTGTGCAAGCAGTACACAGTCCTGAAGACTAATCATCATTCTAAACATGTTACTTTTAGATTCCATATTTGCACATACACTGCTGGCCATTAAAATTGCAACACCAGGAAGGAATGATTGAACGTCAAAATCATATGAAAGGAAGAAGAGGTTGGGATATGCAAATGATTAGTATTTCAGTGCATTTAGCTCACAATGCAGGAGGGACAAATGACATCTGAAGCACTGCATAAAAGTTGTGCAGTGGATTTCTCATTTGGAAATCGCTTTGTAAGGTCAGGGTTTCATCAGAATATCGTGTTATGCCTCGAATAAGAAGAAGAAATGCTTACCAGCAAGTGTTGGAATTCAATAGAGGCAGGATCATTGCCTATCGAGAGTGTGGATTATCGTTCCGTGATATTTCCACTCACACTGGTCGAAATCCAACCACTATCATGCAAATATGGAATCGATGGGTTGCTGAGGGTCTTACTGAACAGCATGCAGGATCTCAACACCCTCCCATGACTAATGTCCGAGAGGACAGACACATTGTGAGGTCGGCTGTGCAAAACCGTACAACCACATCACGGACCATTAGGCAGGAAATAAGCTTGTTTGCAGCACGTCCAGTATCTGCTTGTACAGTGCAACGACGTTTGCAGCAGCATGTCGACCATTACTTTGGCTTTCCTTGACAATGCAGCATAGAGAGAGATGGCGACTCTGGTGCACCCAACGACAAAGCTGGATACAGGAGTGGCACAATGTCATCTTTTCAGATGAGTCCCAGTTCTGCGTGCAGCATTCTGATGGCCATATACGTGTCTGAAGGCTCTTAGCAGACCGCTCGTCACCTGCTTGCATTTGATATTGGCTTAGAGGCCTTGCACCCGGTGTGATGATATGGGAAGCCATTGGGTACACGACACACACATCTCTAGTTCGGATTGATGGTAATGTGAACGCAAATCGGTATATTTCTGACATCTTACATCCAGTGGTTGTGCCCTATCTTCGAGGCCTGCAAAATGCCATCTTCCAACAAGATAGTGCAAGACCTCATGTTGCACGTCATGTTCTGACCTTCCTTGATACAGAGGATATTNTTTTTGTATGGCTGTGGTGAGAGTATTAACATCGTCTTTCTTAATGAGCTCAATAGCAATACCCCCGTTATTCACCTTCCTGATTCTGTTGACACCTATGCCTATTTGGGAAGGCTTGATATGCTTGCAGAGCATGTTTTTCGTTTTGTCGCTGTTTTTATCCTCTGTGGAATTGTATACCAAAAGAACATTGCTGCTATGCGACTTCAGCTTAGGTGAGTGAGTGGTTGTGGTGCCCAAGACAAGAGTATCTCTATACGACAGTTAGGTAGATCTGCCAGCCCGGGCCTCTATGGCAGAGAGTTTGGAGAAAATATTCTGCTGGCTCTCCAAAAGTGAGTTTTTCTGTTCACTGGCAAGCAGAATGTCAATCTTCTCTTCGAGCTTGGCAAATTTCAAGTCAGTAAGACCATTGTCGAATAAGTCGATTATTCGTTGTACAGTAGAGATGATGTAGTCCTGATGCTTGCCTGAACTTAGCTTTCCAGATCCATTGTCACTAAAATACCCCTTAAGTTCATCTAGAATTTCATATGCTGAAACTTTAAGTTCCGCAATGTCGGCCTTGCCAGATAACTCCATAATCGCAAGGAACCAAACCAGCGACCGAATTAGAGTCAGTTAGGGAAGCCGATCAGAACACGTGGCGAGGTCAATGACCTTTGTTCTCCCAAAAGTTATCGAACGCGATAACTTGAAAAATAATCAACGGAAACTGGCGAAACTTTGAGATAAAACGTATATTACGGTCGCCTGTCCGATGTATAAAGATCACAGCGGATGGCCTAATGGATCGGTCAAACGGACTGCCGGAATTTAGCCAGTAACGGTCGTGATATTTCACAAAGTAAATAACAGAATGTCTCGAGTAATATATTATATAAGCCACGTTAAAATAGCGAAGATAATCACACATCGAACTTAAACTGGAAGAGCGTACAGTCGGAGAAAAGCTTGTCCGAATGCCGACCACGTGGTCGCGGTTCAAAGTGAAACGTAACTCAGGAAATAAATATCTGAATTTAAAAATAAAACTGTGTTTTAAAGTGCACCACTTCAACTTTAAAACAGTATATAAAAGACTTACATAGGAAGCGTAGATCCGCGGTAAAAGTAATCCAAAGAAGAGCCGTTAACCTAACGTCTTACTGCACGGCTCAACAAGCGACACTATATGATACAGAGGATATTCAATTGTTGCCCTGGCCTGCATGGTCTCCAGATCTTTCACCAATTGAAAACATCTAGTCATGGGTTGCTGAGAGACTGGCCCGCCACCCCTCTCTTGCTAATACAGTTGATGAAATATGGCATGGACTTGAAAGCAGCATGGAATGAGTTGCCCGTTTCTGTCATCCAAGCCCAGTTTGACTCCCTGCTTAAACGGATAAGGGCCATTTTAGCTGCCGGGGGTGGCAACTGTGTCTACTAATTTTGCGCCCCTGTAAATCCCCAAACTGCTTGCAAATTTAATCATTTTGTCTTTATGCCATACTGTTTATGTACAATAAATATCTTTTTTTTATTTGCTTTCCTTCTTGGTGTTGCAATTTTAATGGCCAGCAGTGTATTTTTATAGCAGTTCTATGACAATAACTTGGCATAATACTGTATTTTATAGGTTTCATTGTTACTTAGTGCCATGTTAGCTATCTTAGGAATTCACTTTTTCCATAAACTTGCTATCCATGAGTTTTGGCTGTAGACTGCTCTAAACAGACAAACTTATTTTATGGTCATCCTCTATATAAAGTACTGAATTTTAATGATGCTCACAGATGATAGCGTTATCAATGTTTTCAAGTTCAGCAACGTAGAAAGATTAGATTTTGAAGTCATAGATATATATATATATTTGAAAATAATGAATACTAAACAAATGTTTTATTTTGTTCATTAAATGACATGTTTTTATGGAACTCATTAAAATATTTTGAGTATAATTTTATTGATTTCAAGAAAATTTAAAAAAAATTTGTTCTATTTTTTAATTAAATATTAAATTTTATAATAATTTATATTTACTTACAACATGATAAATAATAATTTTTGTTATATATAGTGTTGTTTGAAAAAATAATGTTTAGTATTTGTAAAATATTAAAAACATAAAAATTCAAAATTTATTAAAATTAATTACCAAAAAAAATGTCCAGCAGGAAAATGTTAATAAACATTAGCAAATGCTTTCTTTCACATTAAATGGTTGTTGTCAGGCTAAGGACCTTCAAAAACTTTGACATACCTGATAAAACAAATGGGTCAAACATAGTAAGCTTTTAAGATTGGTGGTTGCTATCCACATGATAAACTGGATGACATAAAGGAAATGTATCATGTGAATGAAACTCAAAAAATCCAATTTATAGTTAAAGCCAAATGAACTGTCAGAATATCAGGTTGTAATATGGCTATGATTAATTTGTTTGTTTGCTTGTTTAGTTAAATTATAGCAACACTTGGGCAATCTGCCTAGGGGTAATGACTTCTGAGAGGTCTTTTTAAAGGTAACTGGCCCCTATTCAGGCATTACAGATGTGGAGAAAATCCAGTAAACTCTATCTGACCAGCCTGTCCTGGCGAGGCACAAACCCATGACTGAACTCCCAGTGTTCAGGGAACGGAACTGCTTGGCCACTGGTGGGCCATGTAATTAAATAATAATTAATTTGTCTAGAATGGCAGCATAATTGTCTAAATCTAGACAAATTAATTAGTATTTAATTAATTACATAGTTTTATTATGACCCAATAATTCAGTAGTTTGTTTGGTGTTTATATATATATAATTTTTTGATTTTTGATTAAATATTTTGAAAAATGATGATTTAACTTAATATTAATGTCAAATGATCTGCTATATTTGTTGATTTGGTGGGATATATTAAAGTTACTTTAATAATTAGTTGAAAAGCAATTTGACTAGAAATAGGCACCATTTCATGGTAAATTTAATAGTTGGGGGAAAAAATAAATTTTTAAATTTATAAAATTCTGACAGATTCTTAGGCATTAATTAATAATCAGGTTGTTGGATTTTTATTATTATATATACTTTGATGCTATTATAATGTTTAAAAATGACTTAAAGCATTCTGTTTTCCAAGAGAAAAAGAATGGATGGAAATCACTTCTTTGTACAATTAGATTAGATAAATATTAATAAAATGTTTTTATTTATTAACTTTTTATTATTAAATATTTCAGCCTCTTTACATACCTCCTTATGTCAACAATTGTGGCTTTACTAGTCGATTGCGATCTCCAAGACTGTGGGATCCATCAAATCCAGAAAACAAAAATGCGAGTCCACCTCCTTATACTCCTCCTCCGATGCTTAGTCCCGTGAGGAGTGGTTCAGGATTATTTTGGCACATCATAACCAGTTCAGGTAGTCTGACGCCAAAATCTGCACCAATAACTCCGAATTTTTCTCTACTCAGAAAAAGTAATCATTTTATTTTGTGTGTGTATTATCTGTTTTATTTAAATAATTTTTAATCTGTAAATATTTTTATTAAAAGGCAGCATAAATGAACCACCACCAGAAGAAGAAGAGTTAAGTGAAGCTCCAGAAACTGATATTTTACCGTAAGTTAATTAAGATTTTTCAAGTAATAATGTATCAAATTAAAATTGTAATTTTTGAAGTTACTAATTAATAAAATATATGTTTTATAGACATGTAAATATTGGTTCGCAATTTCAAGCAAGATTACCACATTTTAATTGTGAGTACTTCTTCAACAGAAGTTATTTTATTTCAAGATGTGTTGAATCTTTCGTTAACTTAAACAGACTTGATACAGTTAAAATAAACAATTTTTTCATCTGAAATAAAATATTGGAAAGTCGTTTTATTACATATAAATAGCTTAAATTTAATTTTTTACATTTGTTGGCATAAAATTTATACATAGTCAGTACATTCAATGGTATATTTATGTAAACATTTTTCCCGTCTGTTATTTTAAATAAGTATTCTAAATCAACATATAAATGTAAAATAAAAAAACACATCCAATACTATAGAAAAACCAAAAAATTATTCTAATTTATATTTCTTTATATTACAATAGAAAAAAATTTCACTCATTAAATTGATCTGTTGATTAAAAGTTTCAGATAGTATATATGTTGGTGGTTCAGAAAGTTCTTGGAATCAGATGTAATAAAACATGAAATCTGGTTGAATTGTTTTTCATTTTTCAATATAATCTCGTCTTAAAATTACACACTTATTCCCAGCAGTGTTTTAATGCCTTCACTCTGGCAGAAAAAGCTGATTCATCAAGTTCTGCAAAATAGCTGTTCACTGCAGCAATGAACAGCTATTTCCTTATTTGTGTGAAGTTTCTTATCTTTAAGCATTTTCTTCAGTTTTGGTAAGATATGAAAATCACTAGGAGCCAGATCAGGAGATTATAGGGATGGGGAAGGATTTGGAAGTGATGGTTAGAAAGTTTTTGCTGGGTCAGGCAGACATATATACATACATGCTTACTTGCTTACATACAAGAAAGACATTGGCCATACATGAAGTGTTTAGCTGGCAGAAAAGAAGGTAAGGGAAAGGGGAGAAGAAGGAGGGAGAGGAGATAGACAGTAGAGAAAGGTGGGATCCCTCTGAATGGCATACATATAATTACAGTACCATCTATGTTTGATGTTGGCGTGCAGTTTTTAGGCTGCAAGGCCGTAGTCCCCTGAAGGATCTAAAAGGAAAAACCTGAGTGTAGCAAACACCAATAATTGAGTGCTGCCACAAGTAGCGAAGTGTAGAAGTTAGTGCCAAGTGGTCGTTATTAGGAAGACTTATATCTACTTACAGTAGAGCGTCGACTATTTGAATGCTGATCAACTGAAACTTCAGTTAACCAAAAGCATTCCAGTCGGACTGTGTCATACTGAATTGAATGTTTCTGATACTAGATTAACTTCTAAAGTATAAATTTTTTTTGTTTTTATATTTTTCAATATATTTATTTTGTTTGTACAAAATGAAGAAATAATTTTTAACAATACAATAGCCACAATTATTATTATAAAAATTTTCATTGGGCTTAACAGCGACAAAAATTCAATGCGAAGCGACACACAATGGAGAAAAATTTAAACATGGGATATATTAATATACTATTATTGGGATATACTAATATACTATATTAATAACGTAGTTTTTTTTTTTGTACATAATCGGTTATCCAAAAAATCGATTTTCTGAACAACCCCACTCCTCAATTGATTCGGATAATCGACACTCTACTGTAATACTAATAAAACTGAACGCGATTGTGAATTTTAATACTACTTAACAGCTAGACAGACAGCAAGAAAAGCAAATGAACACAATGACAAACTAGACAAGAAAAATGGACCGACAGAGACAAACAAGCAAGACTCAAAAAAATTTTATTATTATTATTATTATTTTTTAAATGTATTTATTAATTTATTTTTAAAGTTAACTTACTCACTAACGAAACTAAGTTACCATAACCTAGGACAAACCTAACCAGAAACCAAGCTAAGTGTCCCTAATCTAGCTTACAACTAGGACTAACTGAATTTAGACTGAAAAAAAAAGAGAAAAGATAAGAATTAAAATATAAAGTTGAAAGGCAGCTATATACTGACAGTTCAAACAAAGCAAGGGAAAGCTAATTGCCATCCATGCCCTCGGAGTGAGTGCTCTCAAGAGCCCCACTTAAGGGATATGAATGTGGGTAGATGATGGAACATTGTACGTGTGTGAATGAGTTGGTGCAGGTTGCAAGGCTAGTTGTACCCTTCAAGAATAGCAGCTCTCATTAAACAATCCCTAATGTGATTGTACCTATTGCATCAAAAAACTACGTGAAGTGGTGTTTGGTCCTCCTGAATACCACAATTGCATTGTGGATTATCCCCAAGGTTAAATCTATGCAAGTATTGCTTAAAGTTGCCATGTCCTGTAAGTAGCTGAGTGAGGGTGTAACTAGGGTAAAAATGGCAAAGAATTGCAGTAGTGTCAATCTTTGGGATGAAAGTGTAGGTGAGCCTACCAGTAGTGTCGTGGCTATCAGACTTTGCAATCCTGTGTAAAGCTATCCTACTGTCAGAATCAATGTGATAGTGTAATTAGTGTCTTTTGTCCTTCCTATGCCTAATGCGAATTAAGCTCATATAAATAGCTAAAGTTTCTGCCTGTGCTATTGAGCAGTGTGTACCGAGACAAAGCTTGCAGCTTAAGTCAGAGTAAACTACAAAAGCAGCACCCACATCACTACCCATCTCATAACCGTCAGTGTAAATCCTAAACATGGGATGATCATCTAGATCTTCAAAGTAAATGTCAGGGGCAAGCTGATGGGAGGGATGGTAATTGTAAGTTGGGAGGGTATTTTTGTCAATGGTGAATTTTTTGATACCATCGATCAAACTGGGGGGAATCTTATCCACTCTAATCATTTTGTCAGCATCTGAGTCGCTGTAATCTTGCCAGGGTAAGATTTCAGCGACGGTGACGGGATTTTCCTGCCAAATAATACATTTAATTTCTAAGTCGATAGGGGTCATTCCTGACATTACCAAAAGGGCACTAGTGGGTGCTGTCCTATAAGCCTTACAAATGCAGAGAGCTTGCAACACTTTGAACAGATAACAGTTTTTTACGGTTATGGGCTTTGGTGGCCACATAGCCCCAGACCTGTATGGCATAGAGGAGTGCTGGCTGAATTGCACCCCTGTAAATAAGCGTAGTAGTGTTAGGGCCAAGACCCTATGTGTTCTTAGCAATACTAATGAGATTGTTGGTCATCTTTTTAGCTTTGTCCGTGATGTATTTGATATGGGGTATGAAGTTAAGTCTCGTGTCAAGAGTAACACCTAAATATTTAATTTCTGTTGTTTGATTTATACTGTGAGCACCTATTTGAAGGGTAAGCTTCCTGATGAGTGGTGCATTCCTACCAACTATCATGCTTTCACATTTATCTGTGTTAATGGGTTGCGTATGCTTAATACTCCACTGGTGAATGTTATTGAGAATGTTGTTGCATATGTCCTGTAAGCATTCACTGTTCCTGTGTGAAGCTAGGATAATTGTGCATCCGCATAGCCCTGTATGCAGCAGCCAGGAGGTAGGGTGTTATTTAAGTGCAGAATAGAGTTATAGTCTATGTTCCAGAGACCAGGACCAGACCTGGATCCCTGAGGACAGCCTTCAGTAATGGGTATGACTATGTTATTTTGTGTTGTATAAACAAAATATCTGCACTCCTGTTGCTAAGATAGGACTGAAGAAGTTTGTAAAGATTTTGAGGGTAGTGATGAGCATGTAAAGTGGTGACTGGCCAGCACCATATTATGGATTTTGTCTTGTTTTTGGGGTAACAGCAGTTATGGGTTGCAATTGACATCTTCCACACTTTTCAGTCAAGTTTGAGAAGCATAGATTGCTTCTCAAACTTACTGTCAAAAATATGGGGCAGACTTCTCCAAAACTTGATCCAAGTCAGTTTTGATTTCAGTGGCATTTAATCTCTTCTTTTCCAGATTACAGTGTGGATTTCTATTTTCGTCATTATAATTTACCTTCACTGCTTCTGTTATCTACTATAGTACTTTTCATTTCTTCTGTGTCACCAAATTTATTGCACATATGGCAAGTAGCAATGTTTGTTCTTGATGCTATCTGTTTTATGTGAATAATCTTCTCACCTACATATGATTCCAAGAACTTACTGACTCACACTCATACATGAGATTATGGAAAGTATTGGAAACTTTTAAATTTTACTTATATTACAGATAATTGTAAATCTGTTGAATGATTTCAACTAAATGAAATTATGTGAAAATTAAATGTAATATTTAAATTTATTTTTCCTACATTTATATATAATAGAATTTGTAGTTGTTATTTGATTATAACAAACAAATTTGTGTATTTTCAGCAAATAAATCTGATGCTTTGAAGTGTGAAGATAAGGCTGACAAAGTATGGGATCCAGTAGTTGCCAATAATCTGTTAGATGAAGAAGGTGAAGAAAGCTTTAAGTTTTATTTTAAATTTAAAATAATGAGAGTTTTATGAGTAAAAAACTATTTATATTCTCTCATGTTCATGAAGAAAGTACTTGATATTGTGATTATTTTATTTTAATAATGCTTAATAGACAGATGACTGGATGGCCAAGGCAGTAAAGATGTAAATATGGCATTTTGAGGGACATAAGTTTGAATATGGGTCATCTCAGGAATTTTTGTGGGAAGATTGACTCAGATATTCAGATTTCTGATTCCATTCTTTATCAGGTCACCTCCAGGTCCTTTATCAGGTTATCAGGCTTGAAAAAATGACTCTCGGTGGCTGCAGATGAAAAACTTTAAGAAAATGTTAATAGCAAGTTTCAATTAAATGACCAAATTTTTCAACCTCTACAAAATTAGAAACAAAGTAGAATTAAATACCCTGAAATATCTTTCTTGTATTTAAATTTGGTTGAAAAATGGAATGAATTTAGAATTCACTCATGTTACAGCTATGTTAACTAGCAATAGCTACTATTTTAATTAGTCAAATTGTTGTTTCCTATGTCTTAGTAATAGTGGTCATTTAGAATAATTTTTGATAAGTAATAGTTCAATGAAAGTTTGAATTAATTAAATTTAAAACCACAATTGATTTAGAATTCTGTTTAATATAGTATAGGATAGCATTTGGTTATAAAAATTAATAAACCTAAAGAATAATACAGTGGAGTATCATTTATACCTTTTACATTTATACATTACTTTATTTTAGTCCCAAACATTCTTATTCATTTCAATGGTAAAATATTTCATTGGGCTGCAATTTGAAAAAATTGTAGAACTATAAATTCCCACTGTTTCCCATTTGTTTTTTGTTAATCTTGAGAACAGACTTAGACGATGAAAGCAGAGGCCAGATATGGAAGGTAGGCCCTGATTGACTATATATAAACATCTGAACAAACTGGAAGTCACCTTATTTCAGTTCAAAATTTCACCGCAAGGTGTTAGATAGATGACTGATACGACTCTATTGTTAAAGGAAAAGTATGATGTACAGGGGCAAGCTACTACTAATTTGAAGTGGAGAGCATATGTTTTAAGATAAATAAATTAAAAATATGATTAAAAATTTCAGCTTGGCATTGTTTATATCTATGTAAATTAATTACAGAGCTTCATTTATGCATTGTTTTCATTCTGAAGATCACAGATATCATAGTATTCATTTAGTAAATATAGTCAGGATTTCGTAAGCACATTGTTTTCTTATCACATTTTCAGAATTAAATGGCATAAAACTGACCCCACCAAGTTTGTTGTTTTTGAGAGAGAAGATTAGTGGTAGATTATTGGCTAATTACGTATACAGGGGAATCTACTGTTTTTAATACTGGTTTATGGTTATTTTAACATTCACCTCGGATGAAAAGTTGGAAAAGAGAAAAGAATAACTATGAATTTTTTATCAAATTTTATATATTTTAATATAATTTTAAGTAGTTCAATTAGTTCAACATGACTTTGGTAAATACAAAAAGTTAAGAATAATTTTTCTTAATCTTTTTCAATAGATTTGTTAAAAGTTGTAATACTATGAATTTGAACTAACCCAACTTCACTGCCTGTAACCGGTGTGCTTCTTCTCCAATGAAAGCAGAGGACTATGCAAATGTTTTCGAACCTAATGTGGTTCTTCTTCAGGCGCTATGGAATTCTCTATTCGAATTTAATTTCCAGTTGAAAATTAACCGTTGGCTTGGAAAATCTTTCTGGAACATTGCCATATGTGACCAATGGCATCATTTTGGACCTGCACATTATCAGTATGGTGTTACTTTAGAGTTTTATTGAGGAAGGCCTTCCATGCTGTTGATAGCATCATTTCTTGTTTGAAGTTAATGCAGTGTGCATTCCTGAGGGTGTTAAGGCATATGTATATGGCCTATAGCCATCTGAGGTGTTTTGTGTGGAACGTAGTGTGAATAATTCTGGCTAGGGGGAATAGAGGCTCTATTTCCGGTTCGGAGGAGTATACCACTAGGGTGGTGTTGTTTCTATGATGTAGGGTGTTCGCTTTGTGTTCCTTGATCTTAGTTTCTAAGTTGTGTTTAGTGGATCCGATGTAGATTACTTCACTGTTATCTCTATGGTCGATGATGGGCATGGAATATACCCCTGGAAGTCTGTTTGTATCTGGAGTATCTTTTCCGTTCCTAAGTCAATCGAATATTGTAGCACACCTCCTAAATGCTAAGCAGACATTCTTTTTCTTGGCTATTTGGTTGTATATGGTCTTAAGTGCCAGGTTGTATGTGACTGGTATGTAGTTAACTGGGGGATCATTGGAATGAGGGGTGTTATTGGCTTGTTGGAGGATCTTGTTGTTTATCTTGCATAAGATGTTGTGATAGCCATGTTGTTTGGCTATTTGCTCTATGCGTCGGATTTCAGATTGGAATGCTATTTGTGACAAGGAATGCGAATATGCTCTTTTGATTAAAGCCTTGAAAGCTGCTGTCTTGTACTGTGGTGGGTCACAGGAAGTTGCAGGTATATACAGAAGTTTGGCGGTTGGTTTATGATACACTTCCGTGTTGATGGATGATCCCTCTATTTTGATGTTAGTGTTTAAGAAGTGCGCCTGGGTGGGGTGGCTTGGTCTGTTTCCATCATTAATCCTTATGGATTAATGTTGATGGTATTGATTAGCACCGGGATATTTGGGATCTCTTTCCATAATATAAGGATATCATTGATGTATCTTTTGTATATGAGAATGCGTGGGAGTTGAAATGGTGTGAATTCTGATTCGAGTTTCCTCACCACGATCTCGCAGAGGTCTCCTGTGACTGGGCTTTTCATTGGTACACCATGTTGTTGTTTGTAGGTAACTCCATTGAATTTAAAGAAGGAGTGTAGCAGAATTTGTGATAAAAACTATTAATTCTGCTGTCTTGTAGTGTGTCTTGGTTTAAATTTAGATTGTCTTTTCATGCTGGTTATATGAGATATACAACAGAATATTGTTTATACATATAGTTTTTGTAATGTGCATTCAAACGTCTATTTTAGTAAACACCAAAACTTAGTATGTAGATAAGAAAATTTTATTTCTGGATAAACAGTTTAACATACTGTTGGAACTGGATCTTAAATCCAGTAGAACATTTGTGAATGGAACCTGAAGAAGGCCATTGTACTGTACATGGTGAAAAAATGTTCATTCTGTTAATAAACCTTCTATTTTTACAGGATTTAAGGGTTTTTTGGTACTAATTTCTGTTTTATAAAAATAAATTTCAATATTTTTAAATTTTGTTTTAATAAAAATATTCTTTTAAAAATTCTACAGTGGAGACATATTTAGAACTGTCATGTTCGTCTGTTGTACCTGGAAATGGAAAAAATAAAGAATATGCACTACACGTACTTCATTTAGCACAAGGAAATATACAAGTGAGAATTTATTCTATTAAATAATTTTATTTAAACCAATTTAAGTAATTTATTATTAATTTTATAGGAAGCAATTTTACAATTAATGAATCCAGCTCCTACATTACCAGCTGGTCATCCACTACTTACTTATCATTATCCAGGTAAACTGTTCTTTTATAATAATAAAATATAACCTATGTAATAAATATATATTTAGCAAATTACTATTGAAAACATAAAGTTTGAAAGTATCTCTTACAATATAAGAGATTGAATATGATACAATATATCATATTCTGTTTTAACAAAAATATTAGCTTACATAGTAAACATTTTGCTGTCATTTGTAGTTTTTAGATATAAATACAATAGACTTACTATAAGAGAAAATGATGGCTTAGTTTGTTATATTTAAAAAAAAATATTTGATGTATTCTTTATTATAAATGGCTGTTAAGTATAAGATACCTTGTAAATTTATAAAGTATAAATTTTTTTATTATTAAAAAAATAAACAAGAGAATTATTGAATTTATATTAGTAAATAATTTAATATTTAAAATAGCATATTCTTAAAAAGAAAATCACGATGTAGGAGAAATTTAGAAATAAGAAATAAAATTTGTTAAATTGAATTGACGTTTATTCTGTCATGTTTAAATAAAATAGTCATACAAATGCTTTTGTTTTATGAATAGGAAATGATTATTTCTAATTATTGTAAATTAAAAAAGCAATTAATTTTAAACAATTAAACTAGAAATATCATTTTAAGTTAATAATAATACTATAATGAAATGGCATGTTGCTTGATAAATACATTATCATAGTTTTTGTTTATTTAATTGTTCAACAACAAATAGTAATATGAGCAGTTTAAATGCTTATAAGTTTACAGTTTATAAGTTAACATATTTTAATCACTTCTCATTTTTGTCAACGTTTAGAAACTGATAAATGGACTCCAGAAGATATAGAAACATATCATCAATTATTAATCAGAAATGACAAAGATTTCTTCAGTATTGCACAAGAGGTATTATTAATAAATATTTTGAGATTAACATTTGTTTAAATTTAATTAAATTTTGAAACCTATATAACTATATCTTTAATTTTTTATTTTTAGATGCAGTCAAAAAGTGTGAAGCAATGTGTTCAGTTTTATTATATCTGGAAGAAGGTGTGCCCTGAAGAATATAAACGGCTAAGACTTATTCGAAGACGACGTGAACAGCAGTCTCAAGAAAATATGATTTATGTCACAAGAAATCAAACATCAGATTGTACTGAAAATGAAAAAGGAGATGTACAAGAAGCAAATGATAGAGAAATGCAGTTCTCAGATACAACAGTAAGTAAATTCAATAAACAATAATCACAATTAATTAATTTCAATTTGTTTTTAATCAATCAGATAATGATTAAAACCATTTGTTATATTTTTAATTAATCTATTAATTAATTCTATTAATCTATTAAATTGGTAATTTAGTTTTAGTGAGCAATTCTTATAATCATCACAGTTAGTGGTATTCAATAGTTTTTCATGTTCAGAATATCAGAAGCACAGTTTTATGAATTAAGAGTCAGAATCAGTGGCACTAGGAGTATTTTGTGCCAATATGGTTGTTTTAGAGGAATGTAATGATGGAAGATGCTGCTGCTTTTGCTTTAATTTTTTGAGCATAGCTGTGTATGGTGTTAAAATATGTAAAATAATGTCAAGCTTTTACTTAATAAATTTCATTGCACAAATCAGATTGTTATATTTGTAAAAGAAGGTTGTAGAATATTTGAAATAATGAGTGACTGGATAAAGAATGCAATATTGGGTGGTAGGTAGATAGATAACCTCTGCTTAATCAATTTTCAAATTTGTTTGTATCACTGGGGTTTGTTAGCAATTAAAATATAAACCTGTTTTCCAGATATTGATTGACTTTAGAAATGAAGCAATGATGAAACCAGTTCAGAGACTCTTCATTATTAAAGTTTACTTGTTTCACTTTCAATATGCAGGCAGCATATTCTTGTTGTGTCCTCTAAGAGCTCTTAAATTTTGCATTTGGTAAATTAGACTAGACTTTGTTATGTAGCCTATTGTATAGTTGCTAAGAAACAGCATAATTCAATCTCTTGTTACTTTAAAGCTTTGAGCCACTTTCTCTTCTCAATGATACAAATCTATAAGATGTGCTGAGGCATATTCAAAATAGTACCATTTCATTGATGATGTAAATCTATATATTCTTATTAATGAGCTTCTTCAGTTGTACAGATAAGCCTTAGCAATGATTATCCAAAACAAACTTTTCTGTAATCTTTACATTATATAGTAAATGATATCTTTTGAAGTTCTGAAACTAGTCTTTGCTGGCAACAAAAAATGGTGTCTGTGACACTGTGGTTGAGGACATCTTTTGTTTCAATCTTTTATTAAGCATTTGGCCTTGGCAGAAAGCATGAAAAAACCTGCCTGTAGATTTTAGTCTTGTTTTAATCTTTGATCCAAATGAATGCATTGTTCATTTTTGTCATCACTTTACCATGTGCATAACCTGTGTATTTAGCAGTATAAGTTTTGCTGAGATGTGAGAGATTGAGTTCCTTGGTATTTTTTATACATTGTACATTGTTTTCATTGATATCAAAGATACAACCTACAATCTTCTCATGGTTTTGTTAGTGTCAAAAGTTTTTGTTACAGTTAAGAGAAAAACGTTAAAATAACAGTTAAAAATGAATTGACAGAGCTCTGGATTAACTATTATGCTAGAACTTTGCTAATTGATTATATAGATATTACATAATTTGGACTCAAAGTAACTAAGCCTAACCGCATCTTGTATTAAATTTAATAGAAATTACTCAACTTAGTTTATTCGGAGAATATCAGTTTGCAGTGAGACTTGAATCCACAACTGCATATCATGCAAATGTGCATCTTCAGATTAAGCAGAAATATAGTAACAAATTACTTTTCATTTTTATACTATTATGTTTTCTTCAGAATGAATTTCATGTTAAAAAACAGACAGCATGTTTATTAATAGCCAGAAGTAATTAATTGAACTATTTGCTTTCAGCAAAAACACAAATCTTATATAAAACAAGACTCTGCTGTATAAGTTATTGTTTTGAACCATGCTTATAATTTGAAATCATATAGTAATGTAAAAATGAATTTTTTATGGTATAATTAAGTTAAAGATACATTTTTATTTCAAAAAATGAATAAATAATACTTGGTAGTGTGTAAAGTGATAATTTTATGNATTAGAACAAGAACTAGATGATCATCAGGGAGAAAGAAGTAACAAATATCGTGAATTACGTAAACGAGAAGAAACAATTGATTCGTTCTTATCTTCATTTGATGATAATAGAACAACTGAGGAAGAAAAACAAAAACAATTGCAGATAAACATTGTTGCTCTTTTAGAGCGTGTTAGTCGAAATTTAGCTCATTTTCAGCAACTCCCAACACCGCAAGAATTAAATGTCCTGAAAGACGATTTAAGGTCTGTTTAATTTCAAATTTTATTTAAAAATTTTTAAAATACAGGTGACTAGTGGAAATGGCCTCGTTATTTCTAATGGAGCAAGTCCTGTTCAGAATACTGGTGAAGCTACAAATCATTCATCACCTTCTAGAACAGCTAATGGATCAAATTTTATACCTATTGTTGGTACCTGTGATATGCCTCTGGAACCTTTAGAAGAATTCCCTTGTAAAATTTGTGGAAAGTAAGAAAATTTTTATTTAAGAATGAAAAAAAAAAATTATAATCTTGCTCTAATTTTGAAGGTATAATATTTTCACTATTGAGGTATTTATTCTAAACTTCACTTAAAAATCTTCACTTCAAACTTCAGTTCACTTAAAAATTTTTAAATCTTTAGAATTTTGACTTATAACTTGAAGTTGAGTCATTAAACAAGTTGAAAATGTGAATTTAGAATACAATGGATTCCTCATTGGGCTGCAATTTGGAAAAATTGTAGACCTATAAATTCTCACTGTTGTCCATCTGTCTTTTCTTAATCTCAAGAATGGAGTTAAAGGAAAGTCAAGATCACATATGGAAAGCTTAGGGTATGAGGCCTCAATTATATATGAACTTTCAGTTTGGGCCTGAAGTCATATTATTTCAATTCAAAAATTTTTCCCTAAAGTTAGATAAATGGCTGGCACAACTCTATTATTAACAGGGAAAGTATGATGTACAGGGCAAGACACTACTACTAATTTGAGGTTGAGAACATATATTTTAAATTGAATAAATTAAAAATATGATTAGAAATTGCAGCCCAGCATTGTGACAATGTCACAATAAATAATTGCTCACGTTACATTATCTTTTCATAAGAAAATACTGGTTCACATAATGTGATGTCTTGTGCAACTGTACACATAACGAGTGAAGTGTAGATGCATGCGATTGATGGACTTTTTTTTAATATAGTGTTGTATAGTATGCAAGGGATTTTCATCCTAAATTTGGGGTCTTTTTTTAACAGTTAAAGGGTAAAAATTTTTATCTAGGGAATTTTCTTGCTATTTTATATTTTAACAATGTAAAATATTATTATGATGATTTATTAGTTTTTCCATCTTAATCTATAAAACAGGTAACATTTTAAAAATTTGACATAATCACCACCAATCTGTTAGATATGTGTTAAGGTGTTGTTTTCTAGTTTTCCAGATAACAGATTCTACTCTCGCTTTGGATATGGATATCTGTGTTTGTTCACTTTTAATGGGGAGGTGTTTAAAGCCACTAAAAAATTGGTATCGCATGTGACAAATAATTAAGAAAAAATTATACTAGTAAATCTCTGAACTTTTTGCATCAATTAGAAACCATTACATGGGATCCATTGTATATATTTTTTTACTCTTAAAATTGTGTGTGCTTAGTGATCTGATAATGCCTGAATTAGCCTATTTTAAAATTACAAATATATTTTGATTCTTTATTTTGAAATCTATATATGCTTAAATGTGGAGAAAAGTTTTCTAATCTGGTTTATTCCATTAATTTTTTTTATTAAAGTTTTTATGTTTTGAAAATTTTTATTCATTCACAGAAATGATATTTTCTGTTATTTTAATTATTAATTGTTTTAATTAAAATTTTTTTTTTTTTTTTGTAAATATAATTCAAAATTAGAGAGGTTCTTACTATTAATATAATTAGTGTTTTCTTTAATAATTTTCAATTAATATAATTTTAATTTTTACAGTTTTTATGTTTATAAAGCAAATACTCTTAAGCATAGAATATTCAGATACAGTACATAAGTCAATTTATGTGTGCTTATCTTTAAACATTTACTGATAAACATGGGACATTCAAAAAGTTACCAGAAAGTGGTTATTACTTGTAAACAAATGCTACATTTATAATTAATTGATTCAAATGTAAACTTGTCAAGACTTATTGGGTATTTGTGTCTAGCCTCATCATTTTTTTATTACTGTATTAAAAAAGGGTACGTTCACTGCAGTTGATAAATCAAGTGAAATGTTTTGTAGTGCAGCAGCTGCAATCAAAGAGCACAGATTTTTACCAAAAGGGCTTAGAAAAAAGTTCAGACATCTACTAGTATACATTATAAAATTTAATTTATCACTCTATTTTTCGTATTTTTATTTACATTTTCTGGGAACTTTTTGAATGTCTCTATAGCTTAATGCTCTAATAGAATTTTTAAAATATTCTTTCTTATTTACTTTGCTTTTAATAAAGAATATTCACTAGTAAACAGGGTAAAATGTTTGTTCTGTATAATTATATTTAATGAATTTTTAGTTTTGATTACATTAGTTGTTGTAAAATTAGTAATCAACAAATGCCTAATGTACTTCAAATAAAAAATAATCAAGTTTTGATTAATATTTAAAAATTTACAGAATCTTCAATAAAGTAAAAAGTAGAAGTGCTCATATGAAGAGTCACAGACAGACTGAAGCTGAGAAGAAGAATAAATTTGAATGTTAGAGGATAAATGTAGAACTAATTGCTGAAGGAAAAAAAAAACATTCAGCTGGCCAATATTGTGATCATTTTTTGCTCACTCCAAATATTAGTGAATAATAATACAAACATAACATTTTAAATAGATTATAAGATTAATATTTTAGATTGTTGCATAGATGTATTTAATTACATTTGTTATATTTAGAAGGGGAAAAAATGTTTTAGAACATGTTATTGTTTTTGCTATCAGTTTTGTTTGGAATTTTTTTTATCTCCACTAAAAAAAAGGAAAAAAAGAAAAAAATTTATTGTCAGATACCTGTAATAATAAAGAAAAATATACTTGCCTTAATTATACGTGACAATTAAAATATTATTGTATATAAATGCCTTTTAATCCAAGAGAATTTGTTTTGAATGAATCAGAACTAAATTTTGAGCCTTATTATAGAATTACGACGGAATTAAATCTGTTACTCGCCGCAGTGAGAAAATGATTATAAGCGGAGTTATATATTAATTGAAATGATTATTATCTGTTTGAATTGAAAAATGGAAATTATATAATTTTTAAAATTAAGCCTTCGGTGTTGTCAGTGATCTAGATATATCATAGTTGACCCTTCCGGGATGTACGGTTCTGCAATGTATCATATCATTCGTACTATTTGTGGTATCACCCGAATCAATGTTACAAAAGGTTTCGATATGTATAGATATATATATATATATAAATGATCTCAACAAAAAAATGAAGCTGTTATCAGCTGCTCAAATATATCCTAGTGACAATAACAGCCCTTAAATATGTACAGTATATACAATATAAATATATATTATATACAGTGCATGATGTTCTGAGCTTACGTCACTTAAAAAATTTGTTGGTCGTCTTTATCTATGTTTTGTGCCATAACCGTAGTTTTCCTCATGTTAGAGTTGATCGCGTAAAAATACGAGTTATAAACTTATTATATGAACGAAGATCTCGTCCATAAAATAAGCTCAAAAAACGTGTTGTCACCGAGAGAATTCTATATAAATATATAAATAATGTATTGCCTAAATGACGTCACACCGTGTTGCATAAATTTGTGTTAAGGATAGAAATTAAATATATTTAAAAAAAATGATGATGATGACGATGATAATTATTTTTGAGATGTGAGAATATAATATTTTCCTTTTGTTTTTAAAAATGCAATCCCCCAAATAGTTTAGTAGGAGACTAAAAGAGAATATTTGATTTCTCCTGTACAGAATTTGACCTATACATGCATACAATATGTATAAATATATCCATTTTATGTATTTCTTACCTAATTGTATAATTTTTGAACATAATTGTTGCCATCCCATCCTTTCACTGTAATTTTTTGTATAAAAAATATTTTTGTATATTATACCACATTTTTTATATATATTACATTGCTTTATAATTTACCATCAAGTTTAGTTGCTACCACCAATGTATTCGTAACATTTATATATATATATAAATATATATTAAAAGAAAAAAAAGAAGAAAAAAGAAAAACAAAATTGTGATCTTGTAATCAGTGTAAATTTTTCTCTTGTAAATATATTGAGTATTATATATTGAAGGTCCTATTTTCTTGTATAAAAATTTATTATATGTACGTCTCTTATTATTGTACAGTGTCTGTTTTTTGATGACAGATTTAAAAAAAAAAAGTAGCCTTCTCTTTTGATCTTGCTGTTTATAATAATTGCATGTGTCCAGTTAAATATTGTGAAATGACTGAATAAAAAAAATTTATTTTGATAATAAAAAAAAAATATATATATATATATATATATATACACACACACACATAATAAATATATATATATATATATTAAATATCATGCAGTCTTCCCCTCCACCTCATGCTATTATTTTCTTCTTTTTTTAATGCATTTCTCATAAAATAGATTAAATAACAGTAATAGTAAGCATTATGTACTGGTATACAGTCATTTGTTTAATACCATTACAGATATTCCAAAATTTGTAATTTATGATTATTTTTTAAGAATGTTTTATTGAATTAAGTTTTAATAAATGAGATAAAAGACCCGAAAATTATTAAATTAATATTACTGTTATGTAAATAAATAAATATATATATATTTATATATATATTGAAAGTTTCTTTTCAGATTTTTGATGTGAAATTGTTTTAACAGTATAAAAAAAATTGTACATGCTTATATTGTAGACACTGCATGATGCCATAATTGAATTGATAATAAAATGTGTTTTTATAATGTTTCTAAAGTTTTCCTATTTAAAATAATGTATTTATAGGTTGAAAAAGTATGTTGTTAAAATAATGTAGAACTTGTGGTATGTGACGATTATAGATATTTGGGAATGGAAGTAAACCAAGATGGGAGAGATAATTGAGCAAAAAGGAAGCAGGAAAGAATGAAGGAATGAAATCTGGTGGTATGTAACACCATAGTGAGAAGTAAATTATATATTTTATAGAGCTGAAATGGATGTGCTGACAAGTTTGTGCAGATATGTATGCTAAACAAAAAATTAAAGAAGTGATGATTGTAAATGAATCATTGATCAAAGAAAAAGAAGACAGTTAATATGATATGGTTATGTGAGGATACAAATTGCCAAAGATTCTCCATGGAACAGAAACCACAAAAAGGAAGACTTGGGAAGAAGATATATGAGGAGAGAAGCATCAAGGAAGAAGTATGTATAAATAGAACAGTGGAAAAATTGTCTTAAGATCAGAATACATCAATCTGATATATTCTGATCTTCAGAAAACAATGCAATATAGGAGCGTCTTAAGGTGCAAGAATACAATCCAGCAAATACATTGTATTTGCTGGATTGTATTCTTGTCAGTTGTTATGCAGAATTATGTAAAAATTTAATATGAAATGTAGGAATAGCAACCTATATAATATTGATCAGGTTGTTTTAAATTGGAAATAAAATTACATGTTCATTTTCATGCTTCTTGATGAAAGAAAGGAAGAAAAGTTCTCTTAGTTTCATTTTCTTGGAATATACATTTCATGAGGTGTTTGAATTGTGTGCCCTGTGCTATCTGACAGTATGCTAGGCAACTAAAAACCTTCCTTAACACTTCTAAGCTGATCATCCATTATATGTGCAGATGAATTGATTATGTGGTGTTATAAATCTGTGACATTTTCAACTATTGTTCAATAAACCCTGACCTTTAGATTTTTAGTAGGGCTATATAATGGCATCAAATCAGGAGACCAGGGAGGCTGGATATGAACCTCCATGACCAATCCACAAGCCTGGAAAATAGCATGTAACCACTCAACTGGAAGCTCTTGTGGATAGGGTGCCGTCATATTGGTATAAAATGACATTTTTAAGAGCTGCATCTATGAGCAGTGGTCCAGCATGCCCTACTAAGAGTTCCAAGCACTTTTTGGAGGTAAGGTGCTGTCAATAAAAAGAAACCTCAAGAACTTTTCAGTCAAGTAATCCAGCCCAAATATTAACTCTGCTTGACAGTCAGGTATACTTCACTTGCAAGCTATGCAGGTTTTCCTGAACCCAGTAACACATTAGTGAAGCCACAAACATAAAAGGACACTTCATCCATGAAGCAACTTTGTCTGGGAAGGGTAAGGTCTATGTTGCCAAGATCCATAAACATTTCTGCAAAATTTATCCGTGCCTTATAGTCTTCAGGAAGAACCTCTTGATGACATTGGGGTTTGTATGGATGATTACAGAACTTTTTGAGAATTGTAGGCATTGAGGTTGATTAATTCCTGCCTCCAGAACCACACAGTGAATGTAGTAAAGTAGTTGGGTTTAAATTTAGTTAGTATTAAGATTGTAGCATGTTGGGGATAGGACCAATTAGGATGTAATGCAAGGAATTATGGAGACATGTCTTGTGTTGCATCCCTGAAGGTAAAGTTGTAACATTTCAATTCTGCCTTCATAAATATTCCTATATATTCTTTCACACACTGCACTTTGCTAAACCAAGTTGGAGTAACAAAATACTACTGCCTCAGACAGTAATTTGCGTAATTACCGTAACAGGTGCTTGCCTACAACAGCTCTCGAACAACGAACCACTTCAGTCACTTGGGAAAATGAGACATTAGCTCTAAGCTCCCATAATCTGTCCTTTATGAAAGCCCAATACTAAACCATTCACTATGTAGAAAAGTCAAACTTTGATTAGGACATGGGAAATCCACTTCCACTTCTGAAACTGAACTGTTCAATCTGTTAAACTAGATCGGAGGTTTCCAACTTTTTCATGTATCGAATCTCTCCTCTAAGAACTTTTCTATCCATCCCTTTAAATATATAAGGCATTTCACTAAGGTGTTTCGAGATGATAACAATAACGAGAAAATATGTTTCTAATAAAACAGAAGAGTGCCCACCTATTATTATTGTTCAAGAACGACTGAACAATAGACGCCAAGAGTCTCTCTCTTGGTATAATTTACCTCACGACCTTAATGAACTGCTCAATGTTAATTAACTTTCAATTTTGACACTTTTTTTTTGAAGTAGTAAAGTCTTAAGTTCGACATCACGCCTCGATCTTTAACCACCATAATTTAATAGCATCAATGCCCAATACAAGCTACTGTGCCAAATTTCGTTTCGTATCCCATCCTGAGATATTAAAAGCCAAAAGTAGTTTGGCTAATGAACACCGTGTTATGTTAATTTGGAGTATTATGCCAGTTATTCCCATCTGAGACGAGTAGGAAGGTAACCAAAATGGCTAGAATTGAACGGTAAGTACTTTTTGTTTTTTTTTTCCTTTTAAAAATGGTAATGTTTTCAGCTTTATTGCAAATCCGACTTCAGAAAGCGAAAGTTTTTATCTTTTTTGTTCTTTGAAATACGCCCCATTTTCTTTGAAATACTGCAACTTTCCCAAAAGTTGCAAAATTTCACAAAAATTAAATCCCAAAAAGAAATCATTTTTTCCAATCAAGAGTCCATACGTGAAGCAAACAGTTTAAAAATCTTCGCTCCCGTAATTACAGAAAACGCGTGCGCGCCATTCACCCTGCCTTGGCCTGGCGCGGCACGTATTATCATGTCGCGTTGTTCGTGGATAACAACAGAAGAGTGTCAAAAAGTGATAAGAATAAAACTAATATTCCCGAGGAGGTATTTTAATGCCGAAAAACTAAAGCCCGGGCCGTCCTCTTCTGGGTGTGGGGAGGAACTTCGAAATTTCAAATGGAACACTACAGTATATTATATATATGTGATTTTTTTTAACGCAGAAGCAATAAATTAGCCACCGAATTTGTAGACAAAGTATCTTATAACTGGAAGACCTGGGGCAACCTCCGTCGTCTTGCAAATCTCGATTTTATGTTGAGGATTAGTAACATCCCCATATATAAAAGAATGCCAACTAAAGAGACTTAGTAAGGGGAAAATAATTTTGGCAGAAGATATGAGCGTGAGCCAAACAACAGTTCGACTTTCAATAAAATACAGTGTAATATAATAAAAATTGCATATACTGATCACGCGGCATTTTAAATATGGCCGCAAGATCCGCCACACGATGCTTCTAGATAAATTTCCACCTCGATCGTCGATAATACAATCTTCCTCTTAGGCTTGGTTGCTTCCATGCGCTTCTTGCACGCCATGGTTAATTTATAGAGGTTATATACGTAACTAAACACACCAAAAGTAAAGCGAAAAGAGTGACGTAACACAATAAACACACCAGCAGTGACGTAACATATAAAATCTAAATACAGTAATGCTAAAATTTTATACTATACACCCAGACAACAGACGTGCACTATAAAATTCATACAAGAAAATGATCATAAACATAAATCTTGAAATTAAAAATAATGGTTAAATCATGCTGAGTTAAAATTTTGTAAAATAAAAATAAACACTATTTAAAACAAAAGAGTGTAAATAAAAAGCCTTGAAAGTTTCATTCAATGTAATCCTCGTAAGGAATATATTACAACGTATAATTTGTATTATTATTTCTTTTAGCAGAAAACAGGGATT